CCTGGAAAAGTCACTTGTAGACCATCCGGTCCACATAGAATTGACGCATTGGTTTTAGTCAATAAGTCTCTTCCCAGCAGGTTGACAGGTGTTTTAGGAGCATTTACAAAAGAATGCCACAGTGTCTGTGTTCCAATTTGTGTCTTTAAACGTTTAGTGAGTGGCAGTACCTCAGGTGTCCCAGAAAATCCAACCAGGGTGATGTGCTCCTCAGAGAGCAGGACAGGGCGTATCTTTGTATTGATGGTAGAGTAGGTGGCGCCAGTGTCCACCAGGGCCATCAGGTTGTCGTCCTCCACCCTTATGGGGAGCATAGGCTCTGCTGGTACCTTGTCCCCTGGATTTCCTAGGCAGCCCTAGTAAGATTGTTCATGTTCATACTCGCCCCAATAGTTCCCATGCTGGAAATATTGTCCATCTCTCGGGGCCAGGTTGTCATTCGGAGCCGTCCATGGGGAGGGAGGGCCTGCGCGCTCTGGTCTGGGTCCCATTCCTCTCTGGGGGCCCCTCCCACGCACCATCTCAGGCGCTCCATGGTAGTAGGAGGCCTCTCCTTCAAAGGGGCAGTCCCTCGCCCAGTGACCGTGCCTGTAACAGAGGTGACACACATCCCTGCCCCCTTTCCAGCTTCCACCCCTTCTTCCTCCCCGGCCCCCACGCCCACCACCTCTGGCCCCTCCCCTTGTCCAGTCCTGTCGTGGTGGAGTGGGAAGTCCAGCAGGCATATTAGTCATCTGATTACTCGTTACTTTTTTATTCTGGGTGGCTTTATTTCTCGCTTCACTAAGCTGTAACTTCAAAAGTTGACAAGTCATATCTTCAACACTCTTTCTTTCTTTAGTTTTATTTTCAACATATCGCTTAATGTGAAAGATTAAATTTGTTTTCCATTGTGCTGAATCCGGGTTAATATTATCTGGGTTGTCTTCAATCTTTGAGCGTATTGTTTCTGGTAAACCATTCAAAATAGCTGTTCTAAACGGCATGACTTCACTGACCTTGTGAGGGTGTCTTCCTACTGTGTCCATCCACTTGGTCACACTCCTGTCATAAAACACAAGTGGGTCCTCAGACTCCAGCCAAGTTAACTCACGAGGGGCAGAAGACAGCGGAGTTGGAAAGTTCTCCCTCAGTGCTTCATACCAGGCATTTGCATACTGGCCAAATCTGGAAGAATCACAAACATCAGCAGTACCAGCTTGTCTTTCAATAGCGTCTCTCTCCCATGGTTTACTGCATGCTGCCATCACTGCCCGGACGTCACCCATCGCCACATCATGACCTGTAAACCATGTGTTGAGACTGGAAATCCAGTTTCCAGCTCCTTGACACAATGGAGGCATTTTGTCTTTTATAGTCTGCATGTCACTTACAGAAAAAGGATGGTACTCCCCAGCTGCGCCTCGTCCTGGTCTCAGAGGGAACATGGATTTTGTCTGAGACCTGGTTCTGCTTGCCACCGGTCTAGTTTCTCCAGGCTCCTGGTCTCCGTCATCACTACTATCGTCAGAAGAGAATTTAGCTCCTTTTTTAGCCTGTTTAGCTTTACCGTCTCCCTTGTCACTCTCACTGTCCGTCCTAGTCATGGCTCTGCGTGCGGCTTTATTAATTAATTTTGCATTCTCCTGTCTAGCGGTCTCGTAATCATGGGTCCTACTTGGGGTTTCTTCTCCCTCAACTCTGTCTGCGGTGCATTCAGAGGTCGGTTTCCTAGCTCTAATATTTCTGAGAGAGTGCAGGAGAAGCTCCTGCACCTCTTGAATGGGTGGGGGTTGGTGAGGGGTGTGTGGGAGCTGTGGCGGGCTGCTGACAGCTGGATTTTGACTCGGATCTCCACTGTCCCCCACAGACCCCTCCTCTGTCCCTTCGCCAAATTCACTGTCTACAAAGTCATTGTCCCCTCTCTTTCCTACCGCCACTTCTCCTGAAAATGTATATTGTGGCAATATTAGATTTGGCTTACCTGGTTCTAAACCTAGAGAATATTTTGGTGGAGCCGTGGGTAGGGATGGGTATATATTACTCACCGGCATTGCTCCGTTTTCTGTTTCCTTGTCTTTACTTACCATTGGTAACTTTGCCAACGCCGTGGCAGCCAAAGCAAAATTATGTACCTTGGTCCTCAGTTTCTCAGCCTTTTTTAGTTTCTTTTTAATTTGCCTACACTCATTCCAACTCTTTCCCTGCTTTCCCTCAAGCTCTTTTAAATCCTGTTTTAGATTATTTTCCTCTTCCCGCAATATCCTAGCTAATGCGGACGCTGTCATATACTCAGGTATGACCCTTTTGTTCTGTATTTTTTGCCATGTTTTCACAGCCTTTCGTTTTGCCTTGTTCCTATATTTTTTATCCAGACCACTCAGAATCTGAGCCTCTATCTCTTTATAGAGCTGCTCGATTGGAATGCCTGTCTCCATTTTTCGGGGGGGCCCAAAATTCCCCCAGGTTCCAATGGTGTAAACCTAACTTGTGTGTTGACGCGTCCGTCAACCACGCTAGTCACAGCGGGCTTTCCTGTTTCTGGCAAGGCTTCTCAAAAAATCTTTACTTTTAATGTATTCTCGCAGGGTTCTAGCTACTTAGACTCCTATTTTATTTAATTTTAACGTATTTTCGCAAGGCTCTCACTACTTTTTAGGCTTTTACTATTTTTACTTTTTGAATTAGCTCCTCCGTGGACAAAACTCCTCTCCCCTTAATTTGTGTAGTCCAATATGCAGATTTTTAATTAGTCAAAAGGTATCTGCTTACCTTCAAATCAGCGGCCGCTTGAGGAGAGATGTAGAGTCCAGGGATAGGTTGAAAGTCATCAAAAGGGATCACGTCAGGGTCACCAATTATTATATTAAAAAATGACGTGTTCAAAATCCCTTATAAAGATGACCATGATTCAGAAAGTTAAATTCAAAAAGGTTTATTTCCCTAATACAAAAAGAATCTAACACAACGACCTGGACCAACTTTAACTATCCCTTATTCCCTATATAAAGTATAAAGTATGATTTTGGTGGGCGCTCCACGCAAACTCACACTGCTGTCCCTGATCCAGTCTAAAAAAACTCTAACTCACACATTCAAGCTATTTCCTTAAGTAAAATGTGCAGGAAGAAGGGGCGTGGTATCAGCCAGCTTCCGGGGTCCCGTGGTCCGCCTCCCTCCATCTGTCTTCTCCCGTCTGCATCTGAAAAAGAATCCATTGCCTCTCTAGCCTAACGTCTCTGGTCCAGCTGTCTCTTAGTCTGAGATCCATCTCTGTGGTCTAAACAAGTGGTAGACTAGCAGGCTCCAGTGTCATCCCACTCCTGATGGAGTGGGTTTAATAATGCAACAGTCAGCCAAAATCCAAACAGAAGAACCCATCTGTCATTTAGCAGGTCCCCCAGAAGACCCCTAAAATTAACTTAAGAGGACTGGCCTGCCACTCAGCGGTCGATAGATCATAAGACACATGGTTTTAGAATGTCACTTATTTATAAATACAACAGTTCCCACTTTTTATTTTGACTTCTGCAACTTTTGCTAAAGCAGAGACTTCACCTCAATTATATTTATTTTTGTACAGACTTAAATCACTACAGTTTTTTTCTTTGAGGATGTCGATTCACCAGGACTGAGGCTGTAGACCCAGGACTGAGGCTGTAGACCCAGGACTGAGGCCGTAGACCCAGGACTGAGGCCGTAGACCCAGGACTGAGGCCGTAGACCCAGGACTGAGGCTGTAGACCCAGGACTGAGGCTGTAGACCCAGGACTGAGGCCGTAGACCCAGGACTGAGGCCGTAGACCCAGGACTGAGGCTGTAGATCCAGGACTGAGGCTGTAGACCCAGGACTGAGGCCGTAGACCCAGGACTGAGGCTGTAGATCCAGGACTGAGGCTGTAGACCCAGGACTGAGGCTGTAGATCCAGGACTGAGGCTGTAGACCCAGGACTGAGGCCGTAGACCCAGGACTGAGGCTGTAGATCCAGGACTGAGGCTGTAGACCCAGGACTGAGGCTGTAGACCCAGGACTGAGGCTGTAGATCCAGGACTGAGGCTGTAGACCCAGGACTGAGGCTGTAGACCCAGAACCAAATTTGCTGGTTGTAGTTTGTCGGAGAATGCGATAGTAAAATAATCTGTTCTGGTTCAATCCAAATATCAAGAAACTGAAGCCGGAGCAAGAGGAATGTTTAGTAAATGTCACTGAAGCAAAGATGTTGTGGCTCTACTCCCCACGGGCTCCGTTAGCGACAAAGGACATGGCTAAAGCTAGGCTACATGCTAAAGCTAGGCTAAATGCTAAAGCTAGGCTACATGCTAAAGCTAGGCTACATGCTAAATGCTAACGTCACAGTAAACTCAGATCCAATGGTTTCAATCTGTAAAAGGAGTTAGCCCCTCCCACCTGTTAATGGAGTCAATGGAGACAATCCAGACCTTAGTACCAGATGAAATGCGTACCATGGTGCGGTAAGACCAGGCTAGGTGAGTCCAGTCCCTGAGTCGTGAAGGGGCCAATCTCCTACAACACAGATCTTTACAAACAAACGCTGATGAATGTTTCTCTCAGACTCACACTAAGGCTTTATGTTGAACCATTCTTTCTAATCTTCTAATCCTCATTTTGAGTATTTAGCGACGTAGAGGCATGTTTTAGCGGGACACAGCCCTGGACCCTTTTGGTGCCGGAGAATGTCTTCTGTCCACTGCACTGTTTTTGTTTCAAGTCTGAATGAATCTAAAGAAGACAACCTTTTTCTTCTGGACAATGTATTATAGACAATTCACAACTGTTGGATTCTTCAAGATGCTTTTAAAGACACTGGACTTTAACAAAAAACAAGTACTTTTTTATAAAATTAGGGTGTGTTTTTGCTAGATGATTTATAATGTACACAGTTCAGTCACGGGAACAGAGAGAGGAAAACAAGAGAAATCACCTTTTATTTATTTATGGCGTTTGTTTTTCCGATGCTTCTGCGAGAGCTTTTCTTACCGTTGATGGATCATTCCTGTTGCTATGGAAACTCATGTGCAAAATGTTCATTAATACACAATAAAAGAATGTTTGTCTGTGTGACTGAAACTGTGATTTGTGGCTGTTTGTGCGACGAGGGAGAGGTCCCAGAGCACCTCCTCTGGTTCTCCTGGTTCTCCTGGTTCTCCTGGCTCTCCTGGTTCTCCTGGCTCTCCTGGTTCTCCTGGTTCTCCTGGTTCTCCTGGCTCTCCTGGTTCTCCTGGTTCTCCTGGCTCTCCTGGTTCTCCTGGTTCTCCTGGTTCTCCTGGTTCTCCTGGTTCTCCTGGCTCTCCTGGTTCTCCTGGTTCTCCTGGTTCTCCTGGCTCTCCTGGTTCTCCTGGTTCTCCTGGCTCTCCTGGTTCTCCTGGTTCTCCTGGTTCTCCTGGTTCTCCTGGCTCTCCTGGTTCTCCTGGCTCTCCTGGTTCTCCTGGTTCTCCTGGCTCTCCTGGTTCTCCTGGTTCTCCTGGCTCTCCTGGTTCTCCTGGTTCTCCTGGTTCTCCTGGTTCTCCTGGCTCTCCTGGTTCTCCTGGTTCTCCTGGCTCTCCTGGTTCTCCTGGTTCTCCTGGCTCTCCTGGCTCTCCTGGTTCTTCTGGTTCTCCTGGTTCTCCTGGCTCTCCTGGTTCTCCTGGTTCTCCTGGTTCTCCTGGCTCTCCTGGTTCTCCTGGTTCTCCTGGTTCTCCTGGCTCTCCTGGTTCTCCTGGTTCTCCTGGTTCTCCTGGTTCTCCTGGCTCTCCTGGCTCTCCTGGCTCTCCTGGTTCTCCTGGTTCTCCTGGTTCTCCTGGTTCTCCTGGCTCTCCTGGCTCTCCTGGTTCTCCTGGTTCTCCTGGTTCTCCTGGCTCTCCTGGTTCTCCTGGTTCTCCTGGCTCTCCTGGTTCTCCTGGTTCTCCTGGCTCTCCTGGTTCTCCTCGTTCTCCTGGTTCTCCTGGTTCTCCTGGTTCTCCTGGTTCTCCTGGCTCTCCTGGCTCTCCTGGTTCTCCTGGTTCTCCTGGTTCTCCTGGTTCTCCTGGCTCTCCTGGTTCTCCTGGCTCTCCTGGTTCTCCTCGTTCTCCTGGTTCTCCTGGTTCTCCTGGTTCTCCTGGTTCTCCTGGTTCTCCTGGCTCTCCTGGTTCTCCTGGTTCTCCTGGTTCTCCTGGTTCTCCTGGCTCTCCTGGTTCTCCTGGTTCTCCTGGCTCTCCTGGCTCTCCTGGTTCTTCTGGTTCTCCTGGTTCTCCTGGCTCTCCTGGTTCTCCTGGTTCTCCTGGTTCTCCTGGTTCTCCTGGCTCTCCTGGTTCTCCTGGTTCTCCTGGTTCTCCTGGATCTCCTGGTTCTCCTGGTTCTCCTGGTTCTCCTGGTTCTCCTGGCTCTCCTGGCTCTCCTGGCTCTCCTGGTTCTCCTGGTTCTCCTGGTTCTCCTGGTTCTCCTGGTTCTCCTGGCTCTCCTGGCTCTCCTGGTTCTCCTGGTTCTCCTGGTTCTCCTGGCTCTCCTGGTTCTCCTGGTTCTCCTGGCTCTCCTGGTTCTCCTGGTTCTCCTGGCTCTCCTGGTTCTCCTCGTTCTCCTGGTTCTCCTGGTTCTCCTGGTTCTCCTGGTTCTCCTGGTTCTCCTGGCTCTCCTGGCTCTCCTGGTTCTCCTGGTTCTCCTCGTTCTCCTGGTTCTCCTGGTTCTCCTGGTTCTCCTGGCTCTCCTGGTTCTCCTGGCTCTCCTGGCTCTCCTGGTTCTCCTGGTTCTCCTGGTTCTCCTGGCTCTCCTGGTTCTCCTGGTTCTCCTGGCTCTCCTGGCTCTCCTGGTTCTCCTGGTTCTCCTGGTTCTCCTGGCTCTCCTGGTTCTCCTGGTTCTCCTGGCTCTCCTGGTTCTCCTGGTTCTCCTGGTTCTCCTGGTTCTCCTGGTTCTCCTGGTTCTGTTTATGTGTCCCGGTCCTCCAGGGAGCCGCGGTCACACACACCGACTAAATACTTCACTTTTATGTTTATTTAAAGTGCCACTAACCATTTCTGTGTCTGAACCTCTGCACACACGGCCGAGGAAATGAGAGCGAGAGAGAAACACTCTGAGGAGAAGACGATCGTTCTTTTTACCCGACTTTGCTGTTTTTTATTCGAGCAGTTAGAGAGAAAATCCTGTGACAAAGGTTTGTAGAGGAATAATTAGCATCGTTGCAATATTAGCTAACCAGGGTGTCCCGTGTGTCAGTGTGAGGGAGGAATAAATCAGTTTCCAGCACACGATGAGGAGTTGTGCTTTGATGTTGAACGAATTTGAGGTTTTGGTAACATTTATATTATCCATAAATATAAACAACTAATGAAGCGCTTATTAGTGTACCTTAGCCTTAGCTGTAGCCTTAACTGTAGCCTTAACTGTAGCCTTAGCCTTAACTGTAGCCTTAGCTGTAGCCTTAACTGTAGCTGTAGCCTTAACTGTAGCCTTAGCTGTAGCCTTAACTGTAGCCTTAGCCTTAGCTGTAGCCTTAACTGTAGCCTTAGCTGTAGCCTTAACTGTAGCCTTAGCTGTAGCCTTAGTCTTAGCTGTAGCCTTAGCTGTAGCCTTAGCTGTAGCATTAGCCGTAGCCATAGCTGTAGCCTTAGCCTTAGCTGTAGCCTTAGCTGTAGCCTTAGCTGTAGCCTTAGCCTTAGCTGTAGCCTTAGCTGTAGCCTTAGCCGTAGCCATAGCTGTAGCCTTAGCCTTAGCTGTAGCCTTAGCTGTAGCCTTAGCTGTAGCCTTAGCCTTAGCTGTAGCCTTAGCTGTAGCCTTAGCTGTAGCATTAGCTGTAGCCTTAGCCGTAGCCTTAGCCTTAGCCGTAGCCTTAGATGTATCCTTAGCCTTAGCTGTAGCCTTAGCTTTAGCCTTAGCCTTAGCCGTAGCCTTATATGTAGCCTTAGCTGTAAACTTAGCCTTAGCTGTAGCCTTAGCCGTAGACTTAGCCTTAGCTGTAGCCTTAGCTTTAGCCTTAGCCATAGCCTTAGATGTAGCCTTAGCCGTAAACTTAGCCTTAGCCTTAGCCGTAGACTTAGCCTTAGCCTTAGCTCTAGCCTTAGCTTTAGCCTTAGCCTTAGCCATAGCCTTAGATGTAGCCTTAGCCGTAAACTTAGCCTTAGCCGTAGACTTAGCCATAGCCATAACCCACATGGGAAAGTGTCAATTAGTAGTTAGCTAGATGTTGAAAAAGGACTAATAGATGATTTTAACCGCAGGGCCTTCATCCCCACTGCTGTCAGACTGTACAATGAGTCACTGCACGAGGACTGAAGAACCAGCTGCTAATGCCCCTTTTGGTAACGCTTTATATTAAGGTGTGCTTGTTAAGTATTAATAAGGTATTAATAGACATTAGCAACATGCTTATAGATTGCTTATATGTACTTATAAACATATTAATAAGCTGCTCATTTCACTATTCTCTAAATGATGTTGTTCTAGTTATATGCTTTTAAGCATTTAATAATAAGTAAGATACTTATTAAAGGAGGAATATGTTTATAAATATATGAATAAGCTGCTTATTAAACTATTATTGATACCATGTTAATAGGCCACTAACAATATGCCTATAAAGATATTAATAAGCTGCTTATTAATAGGCAATAGTGGTAATAGGCCACTAACAATATGCGTTAATAAACTGCTTTATTACACTATTTTGCAGTACCTTAATCTAAAGCGAGGAGCATTTTTGTTAATGCAGAAAAAAACACAACAATGATCTAAGATGTTTTTATTTATTCAAACAGCAACAATTAAAGTCTAAATGAAAAAAAATATCAAAATTAAGTTTGTGCCAAAAGGTTGTTAGTAACTTCAAGGAGCCATGATGAACCCACTCATGCTCCGACCTGCTCTGTTCATGAATTTGGCTTTGGCAAAACAGTGAATCAGCTGACCTCACGATACGATACGATACACGATACAAAGCTCACGATAAAGATTACGAAAACGATTTTATCACGATATGACGATTATTGATATATTGGTCAGAAATATACAATATGCCAATTTATGGCATAAATAAAATAAAAAATACTCTTTATTTCATGATAAATAGAATGGAGATTCGTAATGTTGCCATATATTAACTCATTCACTGCCCATGACGACAAAACTCGTCATGTTGAATAGTAACGCTCACTGCCCATGACGAGTTTGACGAGTTTTTCATGTTATTACACGGGAGGCTACAGTAATGGTGTAGGTTTGGTTCCAATCTTGGTGGGGACATTCACTACGACCTGAGTCTACACCCATTGACACGGGGTCCAGAGTTTCTCCCCCAGAATTTGTTGTGTAATCACACACTATATTTGCAATAGTGTGTTGCCTTCTATACTAAACTCAGCTGTAGACTGAATGAGAAGCAGTTATAAAAACAGAGGAGAAAATATTGAATTAGAATCTACAGTGAGTAGCTCACTACATTGTTTGACATACGATCAATCTCTAAAAACAATTCATAGTCCCATGCATACCTACAAAATTCCAACCTCGCCTGATGCACTGAAGGGCCTGTTGCTTCTACCTCAACATTCCCTATATTGTTCTCTCTTGTTGGTTGAGTTTCCTATGTATGTTAACAGAAGATTAATCATCACAATTCATAATTTGCTATTACTCGTGCTTTCTCTTACTTACTTTCCAACTGTTAAAAAAGCTCCTGATATCTTTTATCTTTTTTTGTGGAGGTGGCATTTTTTCTAAATTATATAAGAAGGTATAGACAATCAAAAACAGACATTCATATACATGAACTGCAGAATCATTTATATAACTTGGCCAATGTCAAAAGTTACATAGTATTTCTCAATACAATGAGTTAACAAGAGTTTGGCAATAAGTAACAGTGTGGATTTTTCTATATTTTCTTTTTTTATTCCACTCTCTACCCAAAAAAGGCAAGTAATGACTCACAGGGTTCTCAAGTATGCAAAATAAAAACTTAAATGACCTGTTGTGGTGTGTTTTGCGCACAACCAGCATGCATCGTTAACGCAATGGAAAATTTAGGTATCCGAGCTTTAATTTCGGGAGCGCTGGTTGCGCTTTGGGAAGAGTCAGGGGAGAGACATGTCAGAGACACAGGGGAGAAACGGGGGAGATACGAGGGAGACCCGCACTTGCAACATGGTTCTGTCTGCATATGGTCCGAGCTCGGTACCATGTTAGAGCTGTGCTTTCACTGAGCGCCGCGGCTGTCATTACAAAGCGGCAGCAGCTGCACCAGGACGTGCACATTCGAGTGCATCGCTTGAATGTGCTTAGAGCAAATAACAGCAAGTGCCCGCTGTCACACATTTCACAGAAATTACATTATCAGCAGATAAAGGTTGTGAATCGTGGATCCGTGGAATATTTTCATCCCTAGTTTATCCTGATTCACACAACACACCCACTTATACATTTTGGATAGTAAGAGCACAATAAGTATTTTTTCAGCCTTTCAACCAACCTGTTTCTTTATTGGAGCCAGTTCTGTTCTGTCTCTGTGCCGTGTGAGCTCCTCGGAACATTAAACAGTGCGCTGACAGATTAGAAATAACGTAAGTACTTTGAATGGTAATAGATCTACAGTACTTTCCTCTGATTACTCACGTGCTACAACGCTCAGGGAAAGAAAAAAAACACTTGCTTCACGCTGGCTAACTTTAAAAAATTAAACAGTCGCTCAGTGCTTCAGTTTGGCGCTGAAGAAGACAGCCAATCACTGCAGAGAACGGAACGGGTCACGTGCTGCTGCTGCTGCTGTTGCTCTGGAGGCGAGGAGGAGGCGCGACGTATGCACAAACGGAAGACATGTGTCCCGGACCGTCCGGGTCACGGGACATCATGTCATTTTGGTGGGGACTTTTTAGTCCTCACCAAATATTGGTGGGGACATGTCCCCATGGTCCCCACGCAAACCTACGCCCTTGGGCTACAATAATGTCTGGCGCACCATGTGAATGACCCACAATACTGATATATAGTGCAAATGTACCTGTAATGATAAATCAACACCAGTAGGATGCAGTATTGCACCACAGGAGAGGTCATAAGTCATTGGAGAGAAGGAGGAGGAGCGTGCTGCTGTAGCAGAGCGAGCGATGATAGCGTAGCATTGAGACGGATCAGCGATCTAGTTTAGCGATAGTATAGCAAGAGTGATGGCGAAAAAGAATAGTTATAAGCAGTGTACACTGCTTCAGAGATTGACTCGCGGATCAGTGAGTGAGGTCGAGAGGGGAGAGAGTGGAGACCCCGGTGGAGGTCCGTCTCTGCAGCCCAGAGCCCGGAGCAGAGACACACCCTCCGCCTCTCGCAGCGTATCAGCTGCTGCTGTTACTGATGCCTCGGATTCGTTCAGAGAACCTGATCATGATTTATCGGACACACTCACAAACACTCACACGCACTCACTCACTCACTCACACAGACACTCACGCACACAGACACTCACTCGCACACTGACATTCACACACACAGACACTCACACACACAGACACTCACTCGCACACTGACATTCACACACACAGACACTCACACACACAGACACTCACGCACACAGACACTCACACACACAGACACTCACGCACACAGACACTCACGCACACAGACACTCACTCGCACACTGACATTCACACACACAGACACTCACACACACAGACACTCACGCACACAGACACTCACTCACACAGACACTCACACACACAGACACACACACACACAGACACTCACGCACACAGACACTCACACACACAGACACTCACGCACACAGACACTCACGCACACAGACACTCACGCACACAGACACTCACTCACACAGACACTCACTCACACACACACTCACTCACACAGACACTCACTCACACAGACACTCACTCACACAGACACTCACTCACACAGACACTCACTCACACACACACACTCACACAGACACTCACTCACACAGACACTCACTCACACACACACAGACACTCACACACACAGACACACACACACACAGACACTCACGCACACAGACA